CGCCTTTATATAGCAGTCGGCTGCTCGCAGACGAAAGCGTAGAAGCATCGAATTGTTCGCTATGGAAGGTTCTTGTTTTATCGTTTCTAGAACGTACTAGTTATCGGCTTCTCTCTTTCATCTGACATTCGCCTCGCATTTTCGCAACAATATGTATGTAAATGGAGCTTAATCTCTTATTTTTAATTGTGTCTCTAATGAGTGATTTTTAGTTAAATTAGTTGTGCACTGCTTACTAGCAAACAAAATAGAGCTTTGATTGACAGCAAATTTTACTCTTGTAAAATTTCACCAAAAAAGAAAGTTCAAACAATCTATTAAATTTGCTCTAAACGATTGTCTTTTTACTTCAAATATTCGAAAACGTTCGAAAAAATATGGATTTGAACTTAGAAAGTAAACTTTTTAAAGTATCGCTCGCTACTTTACAACGATTTTAATTTTATGGGCATCCGTTGTTAATTTTAAATAGTTCTTTCCTTTTTTAGGAGAGACATGATTTAGTGCATTTGAGAAGAAGCTTCGCCAAAAATTTCTTAAGAACTGTTAGATTATTCAATTGTATATTTGTTTTCTTATGCCCAACAAGAATTTGTTTACTGACAGTTAAAACCAGTTTTTTTTTACCTAAAATCCGAGTTTTTTCCATTATATTTTTTGCTCTAATATTTTTTAGAAAAAATTTTTTACAAGTCATATCCTTCAAAACAATTTATACACGTACATATAAGCTGTGAAAAGCAGTTAAAATTGGTATCTTCCTATTATATTATAAGACAATTTGTTTCATGCTACATTTCATAAAACATAAGTTATTGTAGCATACTTTCAGGCTCTGTCTATTTTCGATTTCTTCTTTCGATGCTTAAGAAGAGAATTTATAACAAAAAGAAGCGCGTGAAGGATCTGAACTTGCTCAACCAGAGAACTTATTTCAAGTTCTCTGCTCAACTTAGGTAAAAATCGGCTGAAACCAACCAACTTTGAAATTACATTGCATAATTGGTATGTGTTTAGATTACTGACAATAGCATCTACAAAATCTTATGTAATATTCAAATGAAATTCTCATCTTTTATGACCTACATATATTTTATTTGTTCATATGTAAGTATGTATATTTGATACGAAATATGAACTAAAGAGGTATGAATGCAATGCAAATTTTTTTAATAACTCTTAATCTAATCCTTTTTTTTGTTTTTTTTTTTGTTTTATTTTCTGAATTTTTCAAATAAATTTAACTTGTTTCTATGAAATTATTTGTGAATATTATTAATTTTTTGATACTTCCTTTTTTACTTTTTATTACTGTTTTAAGCAATGAAGAAAATAAAAAAAAAATAAAAAGGAAATATTTAAATTCTTTTTTAGTAATCTTGTAATTAATTCCTTTGGTTAAAATGCCAAACTAAGAATTATATTAACATAGAGTAAAGAATTGCATACGATTTTTCTTTTACCAGAAAATCACTCTGTTAACAAAATTAGTTCCGTGGTGGCTGTTATTTAACAGCGTGTTGAATTCCATTTTCGATATTTTTCAGAAGTTGTTTCGGAGGTGCCATGAATTCAAATTTTATAAGTTCCCTTCTCAGGCCTTTATGACTACCCACCCATTTTTTCAGTTTTATTGATCTCAATTATTTACTCGCGAATTTTAATTTTTTTTGGTGTTAAAAAAATTTTATCGCATTTCACGCACTTGGAGAGATTAATGGGGTTGGCATGCATTATTTTATAATTGCTCCGAATGAGTGAGCACTGCCAGTTATGAGAATGGTGGTTCAACAAAAATGAGTGAGAATATAACAACAACTCAAATTGCTATGGAAACATTGCCGCAAGTGTTTACCACAACAAAAAGTGACATAAGGGAAATACGAAATTATGTTTATTAGTTTTTATTGTACTTTTTAACTGCATACATATCCATGCACTTATTAATATAGTCTAAGCCAACAACATGTTTATTTTTAAAGAACAAAAGTAGCGCATATTAAAATTTAAGTATATTTTAAGCTTTTTACCTAAGAAATTCTAAAATGCGTTAAATTTGAAAGTGAAGTGATGTGTTAGCTAATTTGTAAGTTTTTTATATTTCGTATACACGCATATTCATACTTAAATACTAATGTTCTCTCAATGAGTATTACGTCTGCAACCTGCCGAAGACCATCCCGAAAAGCGCGTTTTCCCGGGTGCATAACAGTCATACGTGTATAGTAGATTTTCGTTCACTTTAACATCTACTAGAATATCCTCTGAAGCGAGCTTCTTGGCTTTTAACCTTTTATCATATCAAGCAGTGGCCTGTCAAGATTCCCATCAATGTTTAGAAGAGATCTCTTCGTGTGATATAAATTAGCCTAATCAGAGATCTACGATAGATCGTCATCGATCCTAAGAATTTTATTTCTGACTGACTGTCGCTAAGGCTGTGTTCAACTGCCGTCGCTAAGGCTGTGTTCAACTGCCTGAATGATGGCAGATATTTCGGGATAAAATATTCTGCAGTGATGAGATAGCTTAAACGATGATGGGCAGATTATGTGGGCAGATTATGTGTAAAAAGTTGTCCTCCAGTTCTCTCTTCAAGTCTTAAATAATATGTGCAGATATTGTGACTAGCATGTGTTGTGAAATAATCTCCGATTTTATACTTTCGTTTGGGATAAAATTATTCAAGCTTGGCGTCTGTCCTCTGAGTGACGTTGAACTCTAGCGCATTACCACCTGTAATACTTAAGTATTTGGAAGTGTCCTAATCGTTAGCTATACCACTGTTTTTTTTTTCCTTAAGCGAAGGTCTGTGAGTGATGTCGTTTATTAATTGATGGTAAGTCTAGTGGCAAAATGTTGCGGATAACGTTGAGAAATCATTTGGTGGATTCTACAAACATATACTTGTATTGATTGATCTCCAAACCATGGTATCAGGTTAATGTTGGGTGATGACCGAGTACAGGCCGTCATACTTTATTACCATACAAGACAATGGGTTTATATCTCCAGCGACTAATCCTCGTTTCAAAACCCCATTTGTTATCGAATGCTCTGCTTCAGGCGTATAGTATGAAGAAATCCTTCACACATCTCTGAACTAACACCAACTAAATTAAGTCATTTTTACACCTTAGTCTCGGGCACACATCACTCCAAGATGAAGTTTCTCAAAAAAGTAAATTTCTCATTTTTGTGTGTTTGTACACGAGACTTTAGCTAATTAAGAAAATTCAGGGAAGGCGTGGGAGCGTCAGATTTTTTTTTGTAAAAGTTTTATTCCACACGCAAATGGTCTAAACTCGATGATTTCCACGAGCGAAGCTCTTATGTGTTTGTTATTTTTTTTTTGACCAATAATATATCTAAATCTACTCCGAATAATAAAATTAATAAATTCATATGGTTGCAAGGAAGTTTATTATGCTTACAAAACAAATATGTTCAATCCTTAGAAACTAAACTCTTAAAGTTACTACTTAAATTCTAACATAAATAAATATTATTCAAATAAACAAAACAATGTAAAATTTCTATTCGCCTGTATGTTCATATATATATACATACGTAGTAAACCACAAATGAGTATATTTCCTGTAATGTATTGGACACTATAATCACCATTAAAATGTGTATATTAATTATTTCCATCAGTCTGTTTATCTCTCTCTCATTTTGCTCCCTCTCCGTAAAGCTCTATGTAATATACTCGTAATTCTTTTGCCCAAAAATGTTTCGAATATAAACTAGGGTTGGTATAAAACCTATGTGCATACAGCGACGCTTTTAGGCTTAAATTTGTATGGCAAATATGGCTTTAACCCTTATTGTCGCTATGATCGACATAAAAACAAGGACAGCGTTCTTAATTCAATTTTTCATACTCTTGTGAAAGCAAAATTTTATTGCTTATCAGTGCGAGTCGATCTTCGTGGTGCACATATCGATAGTACGCGGCTACGTTCAATGAACTGGCATTGTTATGCGTGGCGATAAAGTTTTCGACGATCGATGACGTTTTTGCAAAAACATCTTCACTGACTTAAGAGGCAATTGGAAATGATAGTAAGCACAATATGGCAATGGATCCCAATATGCAAATAGAGCTTCTCTCTTATCTAATACGGTAGTTGGCGTGGAACGCTCTATAGAGCTCCAGCGGAAGCTGGCCGTCAAGGCACCGAGTGCTGACTCCTCGTCAGGACTTGTGAAACTGAGTTGTCGTCGATGTATACATTTCATGGTGCGGCAGAGTATTTGAGCATGAGAGCGATTGTAGCAGATGTAGGGTAATGAAACGCCAACACGTACACCCAACGGTATAAATTGTGTTGTACCTTGGTTTTTAATAAGGCGAAAACTCATATGTCCATTTATGCTGCGTTGAAAGCGTACTTTGGCGAAAAATGTTTTAAGCCAAATATCAATTTGTGCTTCGTCAGACATGATATTTGGTCCGTTAGCATTAATTGGAGTTATTGGGATTAAATTTTTCGTTTCATGTTCAACTTTGCACGTAACATTCGAAACAACTCGTGAATCTTTGACCGTTGTGCAAGTAATATAGTGTTCACCCGGCAGGTCACGTATTACAATCCATTTGTCATTTTCACTAATCTCATGATTAAATTTGAAATCCATTCGATTATTCGGCAATAAGTACTTGAAACGTTCGACTAAACCTTGAAAACCGACAGCCATTAATATATTTCGAAAATTGCTGATAAAATTATTCTCGTACAATTGGTGAAGATCAATGGGCGAAGTGAGTTCAGAGTAAGGTGGCACCGAAATATTGTTAGCTGTACATTTTTTGAAAAACTCCAGACAATCGTCCAATATTTTAGTCTCAGTGAAACCTGGTATAAAACTAGCACAACCGAGTAGCTCAAGATGTTGTTTAGCAAGCGCATCGTAGTAAGCCGGGCTCGTTGCGCAAACTGGTATATAAACAGAGGGCTTCTCCTTGCTGACGATATGACACAAAGCACTGATGTAGTTATCCACGTTATTTGGACTTGGTTTGGGTACAATATAGAATTTATCGACGGCGGTGGAGAAGCGTGCCAGCCCAAAGAGGCCCTCAAATTCGAATACAACTACACGAGAACCGGAAGCGTAAAAATTACGTGCCAAATGCAAAGTTTGAATTGTACTGCCACAACTTATCAGAACTGTGCGTCTATGACGTTGCGGTCCCTCTGAGGAAACCTCCATTAATGAGTCAACATTCAATATCCATTTTACAAGTGCAACAGGAATGCGTACGAACTTCCAGAATATCCATAATAAAGCTGATAACCAGAAACTTGGCGCCGCTATAGATAGCGGAAGGAAGAAGATGAAGCGTATAATGGCAAAAGTTATGTTGAGCAGTAGTTGTGGCCAAAAGAAGAGCACTTGACGCATAGTAGTCGATATTGTGCGTGACGGTTTACGCAAAGCTTGGCTTCTATGCAACGTAACTACTTTTTTATTGTGGCCAGATGTTTGTGAAAACGGGTCCTGTCCAGGATCTTCGGGTATCAAGTCCAACGAATTGATTCGACGGAATTTCGAACGTGAATACCGCAATTGGCGTGCTTGTTCTTGCTTCTTTAGAATGTCGATAGTAGCCATATTTCTTTTCGTAATTTCCCTAAGATTTAATTGTTCGATTCGTCGATTCGAGTGGAGTTTTCCACAACTAAAACTATTTATTTTATTTTAAATTGGTTGTTGAATGACATGCAACACTTAATTTAATATTTATCCGAGGTTGTAGTTATATGAACGGCAGCCGAAACACTGACTTTTGGTGAATATTTCTTAGCGACGCGTTAGCAGTAGGAGCAAAATTCAATAAGCTACTAAATATCACTTAAATACTGTTTCATCTTTTAAATCGCATTATTATTATAAAAAAACTCAAAGAAGTGTTAGCGTAGTGTTGATGTGAGCTTCTCTCCTAGTCTACAATTCAGAAATTTTATTTTACTAAACAAATGCCTCCCGGAATATACAAAAATACAATACATAAGTGAATATATGAATAAACAAAATAAAAAGCGTCCATACATGCTCGTATAAATAAAATACGCCCATATGTGTATTAGTGTACTGGAGAGCGAAAACAGTGGCGGCACAAATCTGGAGCACTGTTTGGATTTTAATTCGCTGATTTACGTAGAAGTCGTCGCAAATTTATTAGGAGGGTTAATTTGCTTTACTCGCATATGTGGATGGAAATTTCTATCGAATCTTTCCTATCGTTTAGTGAATGGGCGAGCATTTAGAGTTAGGAAAAACAAGTATTGTAGTCAAATACTCAATACTATTGGCCAATGTCTTACTGTGTAATAAGTGGAATTTATTGAGAAAACTGATTTTTCCTAGAATGAAAATGTCCAAAGTTATTTTTTGCAGGAAGTCGCGTATATCTTTGATTTTTAGACTGTCAATTATGATGTTGGAGACACTCGCATTATCGTGTTAAATCGTAAAAATTAGTTTCATTGCAGGAAAAAGCTACACCAGCAAAGAGTCAACTTTTTATTTTAAGATTGCATGATTCTCTCAATTCATCTTGGGGCGAGTGAGATTGCTTGGTGGCAATCTAACAATATGAGTTATAATAATATTTTCATTGGTTAAATATCCCTAGTGGAACTTTTTAAATCAGCCTCTGTTTGGGCACACGTTCAGCACAAGACTAGATGCAGCATTTGTTTGTATTATATGGATGTACATACATATGTATATACATACACGTATGTATGTGTGTGCATATATAAATGTATTTTTAGTTGTACTGACATATTTGAATTGATTTTATTTATTTTTTAATACCAAACTGTACACTTGTTATCAATTATTAGCAATGTGAGTAGCGTTGTTTTGTTTGCGAATGCTATACACCTTAAGTTCTTGATTAGTTTACCTTTATCGGGATGATTTGTTCAATACATATGAATTGGCTAAATATGTATATATATAAATTATAAATAAATTATATTTTAATATACATATATATAACTTTATTAAAAATTTATAAGTACCATATAAATATTCTGGTGCTTTTATTTCGAAAATCGAAATAAAATATATATTTTTTGATTGCATTTATAATTGATTACGCTTGCGCATGATGACATTATCAACCAATGTGATTTGCCTTAGAAGCATCTACCAAATATTCCAAGTATATATGTATGTACATATGTAATACATGTATACATTCATATATACATTATTGGATCTTTGTTGCTGCTGGGCGATTTTCCGCTGAGCCCCTGCTCAAAATTATGGTATGCGTCTTGCTGTTTCTAAGCCTGCTCCGTACGACCGATGGAATTAATTATATTTCATGTCAAAAATACACTAAGAGGAATGTAAAGCCCTGCAAAGGCAATTAGAAAACTAAATTTTCTATAAATTTGGATGTTGGTCGAATCAGTACTCTAGCGCTGACCTACAGAATGGCAGTACTCAATGCAAACTATTCGTCTATTGCGGCCGCCAGACATTTGCATCATAACGATAATTTTCACGTCATTCAAAAAATTTCAATAGTTTCGCGTGAAGCATTCAGAAATGTTATCCTTAAATCAGTTATCACAATAAATTTCTTTTTCGTCTTTTCTGAAGCGTAAAGCTGTCGTTAATGCTAGAACGTTATCAGATAATGTTCAACATGTGTGAATTGAAGTGTGCTGTTAAATCTTAGCAAACAGTCATTTTAAACTTTAACGTTAACGCTGAGTTTGCGTGGTTTCAACATTAACAATTTCTTTTCGTTTCGATAATACGGCGACGAACTTTTTGCTTGACTAATGTAAATGATGTCTTTAGATAAGCTCAAGAAAGTCGCATAAAAAATATGATTTTTCGAAAAGGTAAGTCTCTGAATTTGAAAGTATTCGAATCATAAATACGATGTTTTGATTAGATCGGTCACTGGTCTACTTCCCGAAGAAAAAGTAATTTTCAAGATAATCTAAGCAATAGGGTACGTGTGCATCTTATTTTAATTAGATCCAAACAAAAATATGACTTTTTTTGAATCGATTGGTCCCAGGGCCATTTCCTAGTGAAAAGTTAGAGCTCATCTTAAACTAAGCGTAAGACTACCGGCTCAGCTCTCTTGCTATAACTTTTGAAACTAAAACTAATGAAGACAAACCTTTTTACTTTCGACTTTTCCACTACAAGGTTTATAAACTTGTTCAAACAAACATACAGCTCGCCAGTGCACTTCTTTGTATTCATAGACAATTTTGTTTATCTAGGAAGCAGCATCACAACTCCTCTCACAACGAACAAGAGCGAAACTTACAAGTCGTTCATCTTCCCTTTATTTATGGTGCAGAGACAATATCCGCTGAGTTGTCCTCCAGACAGTTTTTGAGAAAAAGAAGATCACTTGCATTGCACTTGCACTTACTGCATTGGCAACTACGAATATCGCAAACGATCAACTTAACGGGATATGCAAACATATTGCCGAAGCTCAACGAATTAACAGCCTGGTGGATAGATAAAAGACTTAAATTTCTATGCAATATCCTGGTATGGAGGCTGCGGTAGCCAAGTGGTTCGCATTGGTACGACCAACATCCTAAAGTTAAAAAAAATTAATTTAAAAAAAAAAATAAGTTAAATTTTCTAATTGCGGTCGCCCCTCGGCAGGGTCTATATCAACCTTCCAAGTGTTTTACTGACATGAAATAAAAGCTCCTTATAAAAAACAATCAGCCGTTCGGAGGCGGCTTAATATAAACTGTAGGTCCCTCCATTTGGAAAAACATCAATATGAAAAAACCACAAATTGGAGGAAGAGCTCGGCCACAAATCGCTTCAGTGTTTTCAAACCCCAATTATCTAGCTAGCAGCAAAAGGTGAGGAAGACTCCCGTTGGAAGGAGTGAATAGACAGTGACAGCTTGACTTGATGTTTCCAATTAGCGCCAATTAGGGAAACGAAGACGAACTGGTTTGGCTTTAAATGCCAACTAAGAGGAAGAAGAAGATATTTTTAATTCTCGAACTTCTATTTTGCAAATGAGCTCAACATAAGTCAAAAGATGATGAAAGGCATTATATTTCTAATGCTGAATCAATAAATCTTGCAGCAAAAACGTTCAAGAAAAAGCTACAAACTTTTATCTTTTAGTGGTTAAACTAAAACTACATGCAGAGGGTACTCTGAGTCGAAAAATTCTCGCGAGGTAAAAACGGAATCGCTGAAAATAAAGCCCATATCACATCCGAACCCACGATTCGAAAATACGCTGTCGTTACTGTATTATATGCGAATCTAAGAGGACTACTTTTCAAAGGGCAGAACATTTATTTATCTACATACACATATTATTATTATTTTTTTTTAGTAAAAATTTAAAATATTTGCTTTGACGTTTACAAAAATATTTTAATGGATATTTTCATTCACGATGACGACATTGGGAGGCCAAAAAGTCAGTTAGGTATCTCTAATCTGACCGTTATCACTTACATCTGTTATGAACTCTGAAGCCTGTCGCAATAAATAACCATTAGATTTTGCAAATAAATACGTATGAAGATATAAAAAATAAAATTGTGAAATTATATACACATACATATATGTACATGTAACTAAATGGAATAAAATGAGGGAGTCCGGAAAACGGTTGAGCGAGTGCGACAAGCGAACGAGTCATGCTGCAACTACCCATTTTACTTACCATCCGCCCATAACAGCCGACTGGAAGAGCGAGATACATACACGAGTTATCGACGCTACTGAGAGCGGCGAAATGTTGCCAGCTGCCCACTTCTAAAAAATTATATAATTTTCCTCAACAAATTTCATAATTCATGTGTTCGAATATAAACGCAAATCAAATAAATATCATGATCTATATGGTAACAAATAATAAAGCCGCTCTCATAAGATAGGTTGTTATGGACGGAAGGTATGTAAGATGGGTAGTTGAAGAAATAAGCGGATGAGAGAGAGTAAAACGGCCTCCCACGTAAAACAAAAATTATGGCCCTATGATTTTTTAAATTACTGTTTTTCTTCCCGCTGTAGCGGTTCTTCAACCGCACTAGTCTGAAACATCGTAATCTTCTAACATGGGCTCCAGGAAATGAGTACGTTTCGAAGAAAATTGAGGGATTAGATGAGTAGGTTTTATGGCGCATAGAAAGAGGTGGGGTTTCATTGCATGCAGGACATACGTTGGGTATGTCGGTTTCAAGTCTGGATATGTAGGATCTGATACGACTACATTATTTTAACTGTGTCAGCACTACTCGGATCTGTCGAAGCAACTCGACCTTTTCATCTGCAATAAGTGGTAGGCGTTGATGGACTCTCGGTGAATGGAGATAAAGGCATATCGGTTCCTCGTCTTGTCCAGCGGTTCTTATTTATGGTACTGAAAGGAGCGGATAAAGTCAAGTACTTCCTTTGTGAGATGTCTGGCTAGAAGTTCAGCCTCAAAGGAATGTCTGTTAAAATAATCGCAACGGTAACACGCTAGCATAACATTTTGCTCCTTAACTTGGAGTGATGCACCGATGACATCAGGAGAATTCCAGCCACGGTCCTAAAAACAATGTTCTGACGTTCTTACAACTCTCATCTGCGTCTCACTAGTGCCCGACAGCGTAATTTACGATCAGGTGGCTAATTGTCTGTATGTTGAGAGCAAAGTTTCTTTGCCTTTTCTACAGTTGCTGCCGGCTAATGATTTGAGGATTTTGTTACGGCTCTCTGGCAATTGCAGTCGTATGTATGTGGAGGCGAGGAGTACCACCTGTTGAATGTGACTCCGAGAAATTTTGGGTTGTTAGTGGTCAGAATTTTTGCGCCAACGACTTTCACATCTAGTTCGAGCCAGTACTACTTCGTTCGTTCATCAGGTGAAAAGGGTAGCCGCGGATTTCGCAGGTTATAGCTGTAGGTG